TTAAATATTTTATCAAGGGAAAGATATTTTTCCTTAGGGGATATTAGGTAAGAAGGATTTGAAGACTGAAATGGAATTTAACTCTTTGTAAAGGTAGATACAGTACTTTATTTGGAAAAACATATGATTGCTAAACAATACCTGTAAAATTTTTTTAACTTTAGGATGTTCAATAAAAGCTATTAGAAGGTTCACGGGCCAATGAGAAGTTAGTTCTTATCTCTGTCTTTTCAGCTTTGACTAGATCACGCCTGAGACAAGCAGGGCTTTCGAGCCAGTTGTCAGCTATCTTATCGTGACTTGGAACCTATCCAATTTTATTTGGAGTTGACTAATTAGCTTATTATTCTATCAGTTTTTTTTCCATTGGGTTCTTGGTATTGACTTAATTTCCATATTTTGCTGGTTTATTTATTATGCATGTTGCTAGACTTTCCCCGTTGCTTTGTGAGTGGCATCGATCATGGGTCACGGGTGAGGTGGCCTGGTGGAGTGAGCAGGAAGGGAGTGACTTCCAAGAATGCCACTAACAGTCGAGTTGAAGTGTTCATGGTACTTTCTGCCAGGTACACCTTTGATTTCTATGGGTCTGACATGAATTAGACGGTCAGGCCTCTGCCATCTGGAATGAGAGGACGAGTTATGATGAAAGACAAGGGCCTTATCCAAAGACATAGTGAAAATGTGAGTTTGCTTTCTAAGAACTTAAGGAATACAAGTTCGTTGAGTTTGGGATTTTCTATTTAACACTCATAAGGTAGAAAGACACTTAGGTAGCATTTAACAGTGTCACAATATAAAGCCAAGCGCATTTTCTAAGGCCTTATTTTTTTCAGTTTAAAAAAAAATAGTTGAGACTATCATTTGAAAACCAAACTGGCCAGTTATTGTCATAGAGTGTAGCTCCCTGGCAAATTAAGGTTTCCCAGAAGTGAGCGTACGGATCCAAATGACATGAGCTGGACAGTGGGAAGTACAGCTCCTGGTTAAGTAGAAGAATCATTTAATTTAACAGCACTTGTTATTTTTCTTTTTTGTAGCTCATTCATCTGTCAACTCCATTTCCATGAGGTGAGGTGGGCCCCTCTAAGACTCTTTATTAACCTACCACTAAGGTCTCTGTACTGGCCTCGCTCAAATTGACAGCTGTCCTCCCTGAGGAATAAGACGTTCTCCCTGCTGATCCCACAGGGGACTGCTTCCCTAGTGACCTAGGAGCAGCTCCGCTGGCCAACCCCCAACGCCCACTGGAACTAGAGCAATGCAGCCTTGAGCAGCCTGGGCCTCGGCTGTGACCGCTGTCACTCAGCCCAGCTCAGATGTTTCCTGGGCCACTTGCGGGGACCCTGCTGTGCCTCAGTGCCCTCACAGTGCCGTCTGCTCCCTGACCAGTCTGCTTGGACTCCACCTAGAAGACTTCCCCAGCTTTGGCTTCCTTGACTTTTGTAAACCTGAACAATTAGAAATAAAACAGAGAAATAAAGCAGAGAAAAGCAGAGTTCATAGACAGTTACCCCCAAAGAATTTTTATGCAACTGTGAGAGGATACCCCTATGTGAGCAAGCTGCCTCAGATGCCCAAGGTAAAATTTTTGAAAAAAGGCTCGTCTAACTTCTGTTGTGTTTTGCTTTATTGTTTGTTTGCTTTTGAATGCAGATTGGCAATGTTAGAAAAAAACTTTGAAAATCCTAGCCCACAGATTGTGTACAGCAGAGGAAATGACCAGATCACTCTGCTAAATAGCCTGTAAGAAAGGCACTGCTGCTACTGGGAGACAGTTCTCCCGGGCTCTCATGTTTCTGCCCATCTTGTGAAACAGGCACTAAACACCCTTTTGTCCTGGACCATGTTTTCAAGAAAGCTGGATAGCACATGACCTTGCAAGGTAGAGATAATGTCTCTCTCCAGATCGGAAGGCAGATTTGCTTGTTACTCAGTATAATAAGGACAATGTCTCCTTTCAGGGCAAAAGCAAGGCTCGCTTATAAGCTCCTTGTAAAAGATTTGAGTGCCCTCAGCTCAGGGTCCTTGGCTGTGACGCCGAACCACCGCACATGCAGCAGCTGGCTGAGCCCGTCAGCGTCAAGCCTGGGGGAGACGGGGTGCAGGGGAGCTGATGGAATATGATGCTTATGTGTCTTTCTGCCTGTGCTGTGAGTCCCGCAGTCCTTTGTCTCTGATCTAGGAGTCTCTTGTCTTCTGCCGGCGTCCGTGATACTGCCGCTGACTAGCTTGTTAGCTTGCAAGCTGGGTAAAATCTCAGATCCTTCAGAGTTCTTGTCAATTACTCTAATACTACAGAAAACTAGGAAGCCTTCTCTCATGAAAATTGTGGAAAAAGCACTGAAATTCACTGATGAGACATACATATTTAATATGCAGAGCTGATAATTTGTATTTTAGTTTTATCACACCATGTGAATTACTGGATTTTTCCAAATATCTGTGACTCCTTATACTGTTATCTATAAATGTCCACCCCCAATAAAAAGGCTTTTATCTGGCTGAGTTCTATCTAGTGTAAGAACAATTTGTGATTTGTTAGCTGAATGTCTACCGGTAGTTTTCTGCAAGCTAAGAAAAAAATATAAATGCTTTCTATCTATTTATCTGTATATGAAATACCTTCTCAATAGTCCAGCCAACTCAGCTATTTTGGAGGAATTACTTTATGTTATGAATGAGGATTTTTTTTCATGTCTGCAAAAAGCAGCCGTAGCTAGCTTAATGTATTTCATAAGGGTCGGTCATGTCCTTCAAACTTTTTGTTTTAGTGGTCAGGAATTGTTTTAAATCTTTCTCTCAATATCCTTGGACTGGCCTTTGAAGGACTGGATTTGTAGCATTGTGAAAGATTGAGTGAAAAGGATGGCATCCCATGTGTTCAGAAAAAAAAAGAAAAATCAGTCAGTGTGATTTCCCTGCTGCCCCAGGGAAGGACCTGGGCTCGTGGGCAGGACTGTCTGGACCTGCCCTACCCTGGGTTCTGGCAAACACATTGGATGTCCCATCTATTCTAGCAAGACTCCGTGGGCCGAGCACTGCGGGTAGGAAGGTTGGCTAATATGTCACTCCCTGGTAGGGTAGGTTCCAGTTAGCTAGCAATTATGCCGTCAGGGATTGCTTAGAAACTTGTAATGAAGATCAGCCTGGATTGTAAAGCCCTGGCTTTGGGACACTTCTCTTTAAAATGGCACATTCCATAGTTTTGGAAAATATCATATTTTAGCTGAGATGTGGCATTATTTTCAGGTGCAGTGAGCAAGGTCTGCTACAGGTGTAGTTTTCTGGGAGAACAGAGTTTACTCACTTTGCCACTGATGTTGATGTAACTGAGAGGTTCTCACCGTGCGGTTCCCAGAGCAGTGGTAACATCACCCGGCAGCTTGTTAGAAATGCAAATCCTTGACCCCATCCCAGAATTTAGAAGATCTGAGGTGGGGCTTGGCAGTTTCCAGTTTAACAACCCAGTGCCCCCCACCCCAAGGGGTTCTGACACGCACTAGACTTGGGACACAGCAGCCTTACTCCCGGTATCGTTTGTCAGAGGAGAGCGAGATAAGATTATGAGTAGGAAAAGAATACACTGAATGGTGCTGTCAAATATATAAGGCGACAACAGTAGCATTCACTAAATAAATCTATTAATGTTCCAATAGCTATATCGAATGCCTTTTCTCTGCCAGGCACTGTTAGGATGCAGGGATGGATCAGGCGGTCCACAAACATCTCAGGGTGGACCAGCCATGGCCTGAAGGCAAAACCCAACTTGCCACACATTTTTGTAAATAAAGTTTTATCAGGACATAATCACAACACCTATTAATTTGCATTTTATCTATGGCTGCCTTGGGGCTATACCACTTAGTTGAGAAGTGTGACAAAGACCATGTAGCCAACAAAGCTGAAAGCATTTGATATCTAATATCTGGCACTTTACGTAAAAGTTTATTGACACCAGGTTTAATGTTTAAAGGGAAAATACTTTCTACCTTCCAGGTGGTTATACAGGAACGGAGTTAGGAGTAGGCGTCCCGTGCAGGGCTGCTTCTATCCTCCAGTGATACATTTGTATAGTTTTTTTGCAGTAGCAGAACATTTAGCCTTGCAGATGTTAGTGTCAGGAAAGGCTGTTTGACAAGAAGAGCAGTCACTGGCCAAATGCCTTGGTGTAATGGGAAAAAGAAATGTGAAAACAAATATAGAAATTAGAAAAGAAAGAAACGAAGAAAGATAAAAACAGATTTTTTTTTGGTTGAGAAGGGAGAACATTATCAATAAAAATGTGACCTATGCAGAAAGCTCAATAAAGGAGTATATTGCAGGACGTGGCTGGGGAAAGGAAGTAAGAGGGAGGGAGGGATGGGGCTCAGACAGTTCTAGCTGCCTGGCGTGGGGTAGAGGGGTGACCTGGGTGCTGAGGCGAGGCGGGGAAGGGCAGCTGCATGTGGGCTGGGAGAGCCACAGTCCGCTGCCATCTGGTGTGTCCACCGACGTCCGTGTGCCTATCTACAGGAGGGCTCTTTAGATTCTTTGCACTGTTAAACGTTCCCGTTTGGGAAACTCGGGTTTACTTCTTGGCTTCATCTTACTGTTTGACCACAGGCAAATCATTTCATGGCTCCAGGTCTCCCTTTCTTCATTTGTGAGATCTGTTTTCAGCTTCCTCCTGTGTCCACACTCTGTTATTCTTCTAGACTCTCTTCTTATCCAGGGGCATCGCTAGGCTAGGAGCACGGAGTGTCTCCCCAGCTCCCGGGCAGAAGAGCAAAGGCAGGGCTGGCCCGCACACACGCTCTGGAACCTTCTCAAAGGGCGTCTCGGACCAGTTTGCCACAAGGGCCTTCTGTCCCTCACAACATCTGACCCTGGTTTATTTCTGTCTCACAGCCAGCAACAGATTTCTTCTCTTGCCCAAAGAGATTGCTGTCGAAATGTTTGGAGGAGGAAAAATGGAAAGCTGGGATCCATGTGTGTGATCGTATTTCTCATTCTTTCAGGAATTTTTCTTTAAATGTGGAGCACACCCAACCTCCAACAAGGAAACGTCGGTAGCTTTGAACTTGATCACAATGAACAGTCGAGACATCACTTGCATAACGTGCACAGATGTCAGGTAAGGGCCTGAAAACCGTGTCCCTCTCCTCCTCTTGTGCTCTTGGTACTACTGTCTTCCCTGGTGAACCTTCCTGCGCAACTTCTCTCTCCTGGGGAGTGCCTGCTTCATCTGGATGCTGTCCACCCAAACTGGGTATATTGTAATGTGGTGAAACTATTGAAAATGCCAGTTATTGAGTCAGTAGTCAAACAGGGTCCTAGGATACGTAAGATGACATCTAAACAGTCATCTTAGCTGGTACTAAAATGTAAACTCATGTATTTGAGTATACATTTCATACAAGATGAAAACTCATCCGGATCAGCGAGTTCTAAAATAAAATTAAAATGTGATGCTAACATGAGGAATAGAATAACAATTTATGAGCACCATTTATTCTTGGACTATGTAGCCCATGCATTTTATTTTTAAAAAATGTCTTTCCCATACAATTCAGTCCTTCCACATATTTGCCTATATTTATGTTGGGGTTTCAGACACACTCATACATCCAAAATGAAAGCGTGTAGCTAGTTTTGGACATGGTTATTTCTAACCTCAGTGAAGAAAAGGACAGAAAGAAAATGTGGAGATGTTCTGTCAGGAAAAAAAAGAGAAAATGCCTAGATTTGAATTATAGTTTAGAAGCCTGGGACAAATGTAGAAGAAACTGTGTATTTAATCTGCAGAGTAGACAGTTGAGTGTAGAATTCCTTAGTCTATACTATTCAAATGAGAAGAGCAAAAGAAATTAGCTTCAAAATTACATATTCTCTAAGGTTGGCTAAGAGGCTTAAATTACAATAGTGGGGACTTAGCCCTCATATCCGAAAGAGCTTTTTAGTGAAATGCCAAAATGAATTAATGAATAAAATTAAAGAATCTTTTGTTTCAGACTTTTAAGCAAAAATAGTTACATACCCTAGCCATTTTAAGTGTTGTCGCTCTTTGGCTTTCAAGACTATTCTAGATGCCCTTTTAAAGTTGCTTTAAATTCTATGATTTCACAGTTAGTAGGTATTAATAATCCTAACATGGTATTTCTAGTCGTTAATAAATTTAAAATGTTGACTAATAGAATCCTGAAAGCCTTAACAACATCTGTTGAACAAACCTGTTTCCAACAAGGAATAAAAATGAGACATGTTTTTCATTTCGCTGCATGTTTAGTCACTACTATGGCAGGAAGCAGCACAATATTGCTTTTAAAATGCAGCATCTCAACCTTCCTTGGCAAGGTGAATGACTGCGTATGGCAAATGCTTTCAACATGCAAGAAGAACAGCTAAGATGATGCTTTTGGTATTTCAGGAAAGGAATTGGAAAGTGCTAAAAATGAGAACGCAACTGCTCTGATAGCAGTAGATAATTAAAATCACTTTTCAGTTTCTCAGAGGAAAAATTCAAAGCGGTTTTATGTAAGTCAGAATGCAGCCCACCAGTCAGTATTTTAAACCTTCCATTAAAGTTGATAAAGATGACATTAAAATATGTGGTGATGATCATATTATCTTACTATGAGCAATGCCATGCCTGTTGCCTGCTGCTAAGCTGTCAGTTTTATATTAATAACTGGCAACCTCTTTTGAAGAAAATGAGCCAACTCTCAGATACACAGGGAGATAATTGCTGGAAAAATAATATTGTTGCAGTAAAATTTTTCATATTATTACTTTTGGGGGATTTTATAAATAGAAGCTACTATTTTCAATTAAATTTAAGTGTGTGTGTATATAACCAACCACTTGATTGAATAAGGTCCCCTGTTGTATAAGGTGGCAGAGGAATGCCCTACATGTACGTAAGAGAAAAGGACTCCTTCTTCTTAGTTTGATGGGTCCATGCATAAAAATGTCATGAAAACTTGCATAAGGATATTCCAGTACTGTACATTGTATTTTTGGTGATCCTTTTGGATTTTTTTCTCATAGTACTTTATTTTTTGATTTAGAAATAATTCACAATAAACTACAATAATGTTAGAGATTATTTTTACCTTTATGGTTAGTAAAATTTTGTTTTAATTCTTTCTAGTATCTTAATATGCCTAAATATTTGCATGCGTGTGTATGTGCAGTAGGTAATTATACTATATGTCTAGTTTTGTGTCTTTTTCTATTATCATGACATGATAATAGATTTTTTCTGCTATGAACCATTCCATGAAAACAATTTTCTTCAAATAGGTACCTAAGATTCTGTCATCTGGGAATATTCTCTTGAACCATTTCCTATTGTTGATCATTTAAATTATTTCTAATTTTTTAAAAAATAGATTGAAATCCATATTTTTTCACAGAAATGATTGACTTCATGCTTTGAATCTAAGAACACAGAGAATTAGAAATAGGTTAACAGTAATTGACATTTTTAGGGTTCTTGTTATATATTGCCAAAGTTTTCCCACGGACACTGTACCATTTTGTATTCTGATTGCCCATAATTGCCCATCTTTTCCAGCATGGAATATGTTCATAATATTAGTCTTTGCCCGTTTGATAAAGGAAATTATTTTTATCATTAGTATTTGGGTTTTTTCATTGTTATTTGTGAGTTTGAGCATTTCTCATTTGCTTATTTGCCTTTTTTTTATTGTGAGATAACAATGCAAAACTTTCTCAGTACAAAAAATTTAGGAAGCATCTGTAAAACAAACCTGGTCTCAGTAATTACTTTCTCATTCACCAGCGATTACTTTCTCTTTCACTATTCATAATATCAGCACGCCCTTTATTAATATAAGGTTTACTGACTTTTGAATTTACGTTTAAATATATTCCTTTGGTCTTTATTTTAAAATAATATATCTTCCTGGAGGTAAATCAAATTCACAATTAATTACAGGTTTGAAAATAAAAAGTTTTTGGTTTCTATTTATATTTTCTGATCATTTTACTTTTATGTATATAAATCATACATCATTAATCAATTTAGATATAATTAACCATATAATAGATTAAAATTGGAGGATAGTGTTATTTATCTATAAATACCTTTTCTGTGTACTCCTTATTATACTAATTCAAGGTAATAATTTTATTTGTTGTGTTTTACAAACATATGCTTTTGTCCAAGAAGAGATTGGTATCTCTTTTGTCTACCTTTTGAATAATAATTCAAGGAGTCTCAATGCCACACAGCTAACTTTTTGGCCCTAAGAGAATAGCATAATCTCTTTGACATTCAGTTTCCATCTAAAATCCAGGAATTTAAGGAGGCCATCCACATGGCCCCGACTCGCTCTGTGGACTGCAAAAGGGAAGGATCGCACTTGTTCACAGCTTATAAATCAGTCAGGCCAGCTGAGGAAACATTGCTTGTGGTCCACCTGCTGAGAAATGTTGAAATCGAAGGTGAGGATACAGTGCTGCTTATCAAACCACATGTAGTTATAATACATAGGATGATTCATTAGATAGATGTGCTACTCATTACCAGTTTTTAGGCTTAAAATGTAATTGAGGTACACAGTTTGTGTCCTTTGAGTTTATATTCAAGATAAATATTTCCCTCCCTCTTAAACAAAAAACTGGACTCTTTGGGAACCAGAACATCCTGAGGTTTTGTGTGAAGCTGCAGGTTCCCTTCTGGAATCGAGCGTGTTCTCTCCTCTACTTATCAGCAGTCGTGGTTTGATCTTCATCTATTCAAGGTTATCCGTTGGTAGTCTAAAGTTTATGCATAAAAACATAATGAGTTCAATAAAACGCAAGAACTTGAGCCAGGCACAGAAAGTATAGCATTTGAAGGCAGAACAGCTATATTGGCTGTATTGGTTAATATTTCCAGTTCAACAAAAGTTCAAAACATTCCTGGATACCTCAGTTTGACTCAGGAATAACAATATTAAGCCATACAAAAAATGACATGGGCAAAGCCAAAGATGTACTTGAATTCTTCTTCCCCTAACCAGTGTGTACACGTTGGGGCTCATCCCCTGTTAGTGTCCCCTAAGCGAACACAGTATTTCTGCTCCTTCAGTCTCACTGTACAACATTATTCTTTTAAAAATTTTAAAATATAAAATTTGAAAACATACAAAATATGAAAATTGTTACCATGATATTATTTGGCAAAAAGGAAAAAATCATCCCTACTCTTTCCCTGCTTTGCTCCTTTTAAGGCTGCCTAGCACATCTTTGTACCTCTGTCCAACTTTATTCACCGTTCCTCAGTTTCCAAAGCTGAAGACAAACTGAAAAATGACCATGTTTGCGTGGTCAGAATTTCACCTTCCAGACACATCCTTTAGAACCCAGTTCCCGGCAGGGCATTAAATCTAAGAAGTGGTGCTACAGTATAGTTTCCCTCAACTCTTCCAATAAAGACATGTTTGTTTCATGTCATTGTTGTTTGATATAAATGACTTTATAATTTTCCTGCTTTCAAATCTGTCTTGAAATAAAATTCATTCAGCTTATTGAAGCAATGCAGCCACGGATCGCAGACTTAAAGGATTCACTTGGGCCTGGAGATTAGCAAAGATTTATCTCAAAGTCCATTTGTACTTGCTCCTGGTGTTCCTGGGGGAGAGTGATTTAAGCACCATTTGACGGTATTTTGTTATGCAGTCATTCATTTAACAAAGAGAGATATGAAACGGGGATCTTAGTCACGTCTGTTCCTTTTGAATGCAGTTGTTATGTCTTAAGCTTCTTTTTTCAATTTACATTTTAATTTTGGTTACAGTTGGCATTTCTTTGTGATTGATAATTACTATATGAGTTTTCTATCCAACTAATTTTTGAGGTTATCTTCTATCAACTTAATCCTTTCTTAGCATTTTGGGAGGTGGGACCTGATAGTTTTACCCAGTCCTCAGGCTCTGAGGAGTACAGTCAGAAACTCAGATATGCTCATGTAGAATTTAACTGGAATCTTTAGCATGGACTTTGACAGTAAGTGGCTTTATTTCTGCAAAGGAAAATTGCTAGAAGTGTTTTTTGTGTGTTGCCGCTCTAGGGTCCCATTAGTGTGCTCAGAGCTATCTATTTCTCCTGTTAAACTCACGCAGTATG